AGCCTGGTGCCCCTCCGCTCGGCGGGGCAAGACATGTTTTGGGGATGCTGAGTACTTGGGGGGCTCAGCTGAGCCATCACCAGCGTAGCTGGTGGGATGTGACTTGCACCAGCAGTAACGGGATGCTTGGGTCTAATCTGCAAATGGGCTCTCAGGGGACATGCTGGTGACAGGGCCATGGTGACGGGGGTCCTGCACCTTGGCTGTGCCACCCACGTGTCCCTCCTGCCCCGCAGAGCAACCAGGAGCAGAGCCTGCAGCAGAAGCTACTGGATGAGCAGTTTGGCATCCTGCAGGAGACAGTGCGGGAGGCGGAGGACATCCTCCGTGACGCGGTGGCCAAGCTGGACGACCCATTGCACGTCCGCTGCACCAGCTCCCCAGGTATGTCCTGCTCGATGACGGGGGCTGCGACCCACAGCTCCTTCTCCCTCCAAGACACGTAATGTTGCATCTCAGCTACCCCCAGGCATCTTTTCCCACCACACATCACACCCAAGGAGGTTGGGGTTTGACTTCCCAGGGGTAAATTTTTAGCTCTGATCTCAGCATTATTTTGCTTTAATGACTCAGATTTTAGTGCTGCTCCCCAGCCGGGGCTGCGAGGACCCAAGCCATCTTGGCTTTCACTCAGTGGTGCCTCGTGAAGTCAGCCCTCCTGCTCGTTCAGACACTCGGCAGCCTGACTATGCTAACGAAGCTAAATTCGTTGCAGATTACCTGCTCAGCCGTGCTCAGGCAGCGCTGGAGTCCACAGACACCCTGGAGAACGGACACGCGCAGTACGTGGCCTCCATGGCAGGTACCTGGGGCTGGGGACCGGTGGCATTGCTTGCATCTTGCTTTTATTTTTATACATCCAGCAGCCCCCAACTGCTTTGGGGCCGTTGGCAAGGATGCAATGCCCTGGTGATGGAGGGACACAGCGGGTGGAGTTGGTGGGTTCCCATGCGCTCGTTCAAGGAGCAACCTGCAAGCAGGAGGGGTCCATATTGACCTCTCCAAGCTCTTGTACTGATCCTTGGGTGCCTTCGAGGGCAGGTCGTAGCCCCCAGGACATGGCAAATGGTGCCCTGGGCTGGCAGCACCTGACCACATCC